ACAGAAAATGTTGAAAATCAGACCAAGGCCTGGGTTTTCGATGAGTTTATTGTATTTGAAGGCTGTGAATGAAAATACTTAATGTGCTTAGCTGCTAATGAAAGGTTGCCGGTCTATTCCCCCCAGAGACACTTTACCCAGTGATTTAAAAACAAGCAAACATCAGTCATTGGAAACCCCAGGACACACAGTTCTACTCTGACCTATATACACCTGGACATCATGAGTCAGTATCAATTCCACGCAACTCGTTTGGTTTTGATTTTGTTAGGAGACAGTAGTAGGAGCCTTTCATAGATAACTACAGTAGGGAACACCACAGAATACTATGCACCGTTAAAGAAGAATGGACCGATCAGAACACCTCATGACCTGGATGGATTTGGAAGATAAACTGAGCAAAGTCAGTCAGTCCCATAAGAAAAATACTATGTGACCACTGGAATAAAAGACAATAATCAAGGGGGGGAAAAAAGGGTTTTCATATCAAAAGAAATGGATTTTGATGGCGGCAGGGTGGGGTGGGGGTGGGTAGAAGGGAGGGTGGTGGAAACAAAATGGAAAATAAATCCGAAGCAAGGAAGGAAGGGAGGCAGGAAGTCATCGACCGTGGCCTTCCAGGTTGGCCTGTCCCTCACTTGGGACTTGGGACACGTTAATGAAGTTCACTGTATCTCAGTTTCCAACGTCGGAGTTCTCACACCCAGGAGCCTGTGCGTCCAGCCCCTTATTTCTTTAGGACCAAGGAGTTCTGGCCCAAAGACCCCTTCTCCCGCAGACTCGGGAGTCAGGTTTCAACCGTTCATCCACAAGGCTCTGACCTATGGCTCCCGGTTCCCACCTTCCATCAGAACCCAGGATTCTGAGTACCCCTCCCCCAACCCCAGGCCTGTCCAGCAATCTGTGCCTCCCTCTGCTTTTCCCCAAGGGAGAACGACCCTGGGGCTTCCCACACCCTCCCTCCCTCCCACCCACAAGGCCAGACCCAGCACCCCAGTCTGAGGTTGCGTCCCTACACCCCTTTCCCTTTAAGACACGAAAGATCCCCCTAGCTTCTAGAAGACATGACTAGAAGAACCTCGCGGTCCAGAAGACCCGGTCAGGAACGTCCTTCTCTGAGAACCCAACCTTCTGTGACGGTTAGGGAGCCACACGGAAGGCGGGGGCCAGCCTTGGTGCACGTGACAGGCTTCTCGAGGCCCCATTGGTCGGCGCACAAGCCTCGAGGGCGCTCATTGGATAAGCCTCGAACGACCCCATTGGTCCGGTGAAGCTGTCACGTGACAGGCCGAGAGGCGCGCCTGCGTAATGGCGGCTGGGGAAACGCGCTGCGTCACTCTGCAGCCCCGCATGCGCAGTTCTGATCCGGGTGCGTCCTCCAAACGGCCTCATGTCACCCCTTTCTCTATCACTGTGGGGTTTTTCCGCTTTTCAAGCTGCACTAGTCAAACACCCGGCTCTCACACGTTAAACGTATCTCCCAACCCAAAGGGCTTTTTGTTTCCAGCCTGGCACCTGTCCCAGTACCCACCCAGTGGTTCCATAGGAAGTCCGTTGGCTTCACCCATGGCTGTGACCCCTGGTGGCCTCAGACGCACTGCCATCGAATCCCTTTCAATGCCATAGCAACTCTGTAGGACAGGGTAGAATGCCCCCGTGGGTTTCCCAAACTGTTACTCTTTACAGGAGCCGAAAATCTCATCCTTTTCCCTGGGAGTGGCATCCAACCGCTGACCTCATGGTTGGCAGCCCAACACTTAACCGCTCCACCATTAGGGATTCTTATGGCCGCCTCGAAGACTTGACTATATGAAGGTTCCCTTCAGCTCATTCCAGCACCCCCAGCTGTACGGACGAGCAGTAATGCAGGCTGCCAACACATCGAAACAATGTGTCTGTTAGTACCGTGAACAAGACACGTCATTCAGATTCTGCGGTTCATGGCTAAAAATTCAAATACATGTAACCTTTTCCGACGTAACAAAGTAAGAATCACCTTTGTGTGCTGTCAGATTCGGTATTGTTTCTTGGAGTTAAGGGTCAAATGAATGTCAAAAAGTTAAAATTCAAAATGTAAATTCTTATTCTTTTCCCTTGACAATTGTAATAGAAGCAAAATGATCACATAACCCAAACGGAATATTACTTAATGCATTAAAAAACCCCTTCTTTGTTGTGAACTGGGTGAACCAAGCAAATCCGTTTTCCACATCTTAATGTGGGATACACACATGTAAAATGTCATTGAGTTGTGCACTTCAAACTCACTGCCATCTTGTCGATTTTGACTCAAAGCGACCCCTTTTTAGGACAGGGGAGAACAGTCCCGGTGAGTTTCCCAGACCGTCACTCCTTACTGCAGTAGGAAGCCCTGTCTTTCTCCCGCTGAGTAACTGGTGATTCTAAATCACGACGCCACCAGGGGCTCCCTCTATACCGCAAAAGGAAAGTTAAATTGGAAAATCCAAGTCAAGAGAATAGGATTAAGGACTAGTACATCCGTACTTTCAAGATGCACAGAAGTAGGACTGACCTGGCTGGGCCATCACACAGATGGGGAGAGCTGGGCCTAGTTGCTCAGATTCCCTCTCTTGCCAACAGGGGGCTATCTCCCCACCACAGTGTCCTGGGTTCAGTTCTTGACGGGACGGAAGTTGTGTCTGTTGCCGTTTCTTGGAAAGGGACAGACACCACAATGGCCCACCAGGGTGAGTGCCATTACTATAACTGACTTGTATTTGTAAACATGGCTGAAGGTGGCTCATGCCTTGTTATACAGGAAGTCCCCTGATTTAGGATGCAACCGGGATGTGATGACTTGCATTGATGACCCGTCAGGTGCCTTTCTGTTTATTCCATAACTATTTGTAATAAGGAGCCTTGGTGGCATCGTGGGGTGCCAGGTGGGCTTCTAACCCAACAGGGCCAGCAGTTCGAAACCACCAGCCGTTCCTTGGGAGAAAGACGGGGCTTTTCACTCCCCTAAAGAGTTACACATAAATGAGGACCTGATGCCAGGGGCTTAAGTGGAGAGGAAATGTTTTGAGAATGATGAGGGCAATGAATGTACAAATGTGCTTTACCCAATTGATGTATGTATGGATTGTGATAAGAGTTGTATGAGCCCCTAATAAAACAATTAAAAAAAACAAACAAGAGTTACACACAGGGGCAGTTCTACCCAGCCCTATAGGGTTGCTGGGAGTTGAAATTGACTCCACAGCCGCGAGTTTGACTGTTTTGGTTTATGTAGTACTATGTGGGACATCCGTACAATGTTGCAATCCATGGTTTGCTGATATTATCATCTTTTATGTACTGTTTTCAGCCCCCTAAAGACACAAGTGTTCAGATTTATAAAGATATTGATACTAGAAGGCAAGCATAATAACAAAATATTTAAAGGAGGTATTTGACAAGTCAGAACTTACTCACAAAGGAGTCATTATCAGGATGGAGTCCTGTTGAAAATTGGGGATTCATATGTAATACACGAACTCCAAACAAAACCAAACTCGCAGCCATCGAGGTGATGCTGACTCAGAGTGACGTCCAGTGGGTTTCTGAGACTCACTGTTGACGGGAGTAGAAAGTCCAGTCTTTCTCCTGTGGAGCTGCTGGTGGGTTCAAGCAGCTGACCATGGGGACCGCAGCCCGACTTGTAGCCACTCCACCACTAGGGCTCCATAGAATACATACGGTATACACATTACCACAATGAAATACTAGCATTTAAAAAAATCATTGGAGAAAGGTGTGTGCTCAGAAAACAAAGAGCCCAGGCCTGGGTAGGGCTGCCGTGTACTGATGCCAGACTCACTTCAGAACAGTAGCGCCTGCCAAGGGGAGGGCTCCATTCCCAGCACCTCCACTTCCTACCTGTGCGATCTCGGGAAAGTTCCTTACGCTCCCTGTGCCTCGACTTCAGTGGCCACATCTGTGCAGTGGAGACACCAGCACCTGCCTGGTAAGATTGCTGTTCCTGGCCTTACGTCAATTAATCCTTAGGAAGCGCTTAGAACCTCACCTGGCACAGAGTAAGAATTCCAAATCATTATTTTCTTCCCCTACTGGTCACTGAAGGGTCATTTTCTGAATTAATATTCAGAGATGAATTCTCAGTAACTAGTAGGGGGTGATGACCTGTCTTCCCACTCTCTCGGGACCCAAATGGGTACAGGGAGCCCGGTAGAGCCGGAGGCCCAAGTTCCAGTTCTGATTTCTGCGTTCTTGTTCAGAACATGAAGACCCACTCACACCCACTACAGCCCGTGCTTGGTCATGCTCTGTGGCCCAGAGGGGTTCATGAGGCATGTTTCTGCACGTACCAAAGGTGTGTGCTTCAGTGTGATGTGCTGAATGGCGCCCCGCCTGAGATGTCCACATTCCAACCCTTGCAACCTGCCGTTGCATTAGCTTACATTGGCAAAAGGGACGTTACAGAAGTGATCCAGTGAAGGGCTTTGAGGTGGGGAGATTATCCTGGATGATCTGGGTGGGCTCATGCAGTCATGAGGGGCCTTATAAAAGGGAAGCAGGAGAACCACCCATGTGGGTTTTGGAGGCTGTAAATCCTTTTGGCTCCCAACAGTTTTATTGGCATATAATTCACATATCATATAATTCAATAGTTCAACCACAATCAGTTTTAGAACATTCTGTTCATTCTTGTACTCATTGTTATTAGTTCTCCATGTACCCCCAACTGTTCCTGCCTTACTCCCAAGGAACCATTAATCCAGCTACTTACCATCTCTATAGATTTACCAGCTCTGGATTTCATAAACAGGAAAAAAAAACCCAACATCAAAAGCCAAACAAACAAAAGAAAACACAAGAATAACAGATAAAACACCCAATCGAACAGAAAGCAGGAAATATGAAAAAGTAGAACAAATGTAAGTGGACCATCAGAGAGACCAAATGATAGGATGCTAAATTTGAACCTAACTGCATCTACAACAAACCACTTTCCAATGTGTCCCACAAGTTACCCAGGCTATTCATATCCCTGGTCCAGGGTCAGAGGGGATTCACCAGGGCTTCATCCTCGTGAATTTACCCTTCCCCCACTTTTTTTTTAAATGAACTAGCTTGACAATGGGTCAAAAAGGCAGGTCGTTAATCTATGCGTGCAGACAGCTTCATCTCCCCCCCCCGCAACTGGTGGGTTTGAACCAGCAACCATTGCTACCAATGCTCTCTTCACGCCTTAAAGGCCACCTCACAGGGCCTCTATTTAGAGTTTCTGAAGCTTTGCAAACCTTTATGGGAGTCGATAGCCTCATCTGTCCCCCAGGAAGTGGCTAGTGGGTCTGAATGGCTGACTTTGCGATTAGCAATGAATGCTTAACCCACTAGGCCACCAATGCCCCTATACGCAGGCTTTCGTATCTGGAAAGAGCAAAGAAGAGATGGGTTCTCCTCTAGCGTCGCTGGAAGGGAGCTGAGCCTATGCAGATACTGCGGCCCTTCATGTCCACCCCTGGCTACAGTTCCAACAGGGACGCCTGCACATGCCCACCAAAGCACAGGCATGTTCGCAGCAGCACTCTTTGTTAAGTGCCCCCCATTGGAAACATCCAAATGCCTATCGACGAAGGACTGAGCAATCAGTGGTCCTCGATGCACACTGCAGAAGACCGCACAGCCACGAGGAGGAGGAAAACTTCCATGACACGCAGCACCCCGTGGATAAAGCTCAGGGCTTCCAGAATGTTGCGTTAAAAAGACACTCTGAATTCCTTGTCTCTGGAAACAAGTGGAATGAACCTGTGCTGTTGGCGGGCTCCCTGGGGGGCGG